TCGGCTTTCTGTTGATAGTGTGAACCCTAAAGACATAAAGAGCACAAGGTATGATCGATCCCATGTAGTTGAAACCCCAGGGAATAAATGATCAGGAAGTGTGTTTATAAACAGCTATGGAGAACCTTATGCAAGTGATTGCCGCCACGCGGCTCGTAATCATCATTCATCGATGCATCATTTATATACAGAAATATGAGACCAACGTTTATTTTGTCCTCCGAGAACGGGATATGCAGGGTATCTTGAAGGTGGAAAGCAGTTTAATTGTGATCATTGATCAAGACGCTTGCATGTTGGGGCGTAAGCCGGGCAACTCGAAACTGTGTCGAGTATCTCTCTTGAAGGTGTACCTTGTATAATCCGAACTTCGACATAACATTAGTGCTTGAAATATTGCGGGGTTGGGGAGTAGTCCCTTCTAAGCAGACATGTGTATGAATGAGAAAGCATTCATTGGCTGCCAGCGGTGCTCAACCTGAAATACTAGTAAGAAAGGCCTTGTGGACTCGTATCAAAAAAACGAGCTCACTGAGGAGAAAGGATCCGAGGATGAAGGGGCATTTTCGATCACCCCTGCGCTGTTACATCCAGCAGTGAGCTCAACTAGCGCTAGAAGACAAGTTTTGACTTGTACTTACTGCTACCACCGTTCAAAAATCCCCAGTGGCGCCAACGAAGCATTCACTGCCACCATCTTCAGATTTAGTTAGATGTGCATATATGAACAGGTCAAGCCAACTTCGTCGTGTACAACAATCAGACGCTTCGCAGATCAGATGCAGGACTATAAATTTCACAATAGGATTTATTCATCGTGTGAACAGAAAGTGGTTCAGTCCAACGTACAGTCATTCAAACTGACCATTTCCGTTCTCAATCTGTACGGATATCCCCTACCTCTGCCAGCGCATTCTGTTTGCGTTCTATGTCCTTGACAGAGCGCGAGACAACGTCCTATGATTCCGATGAGAACGCACAAAATAGTTGTAATAAGTATACTAGCACTCCTCACCGGCTACAATATCAAGAACTCATGCGTTCTCCGACGTCACGTTCAGTAACAAACACGCCAATTGAACTCGTGGGCGAGAACCTGACAGAAAACCGCCTTGACCGAGAGTGACCGACAGCTCAAGAACGGAAAATACGCGAGATAAACATCACCCAAAACACTCGCTCCAGCATGAAATAGGGATAGTGCGCGTTGGGGAATGATTGGGAACTTCGGAAGTGCATCACACGTTTTTTTGGTGAGAGAGCTTCTTGTATAGCCTGGCCAATCGACGGATACATATCTGGACGTTCAGCTTATTTAAACGGCGAGCAAGATCATCAACACGTGCTGGGTGAAGACATGGCTTTAGAAGCTCGGATAGCTGCTGAATCGAGAATAAGAGATGCGCTGATGACAGGAGGAATATGTAGAACACCGTGCTCAGCGGTTGCCATCTCAAGTTCTGAACCCCGTGATCCTGTGCAAGCAGGTGAGACAGGTGCCGTCCAGACACTCGAGAAGTATGATTGACACTGGGTTCCTCATTTCGCGCATCCAGTATCAACACGCAGGCGGCAGAACACAAGTTTTATGACTCAGTATAACAAACGGTACAAAAGGGTTCCCACGCATAGGGCCATTCGTGGGAAGTCGGGGATGGCCAAATAAGAATATTCAATTTAATTCACGCGGGGAAACTGCACTTTTACAATAAAATTACATTTGACAGGTAATCCAGAGTACTTACTTGCTCTAGGCTAGGTCTGGCCAGGTCCGAATCTGCTTTTGATTGAAAGACGTAAAACGTTGAAACCTTATGTGTCACTGCACCGGTACCGGTACCATGCATATCTCACGATGACGAAGTAGTTCCTCAAAATATCCTATCAAGTGCATTTTATCTTTTTCTCGCTTGCTTGTTCCCCACGTGCACGGCAAATATTATAACACTCGTTCGCGAAAAAAAAAAAAATGGGTCAGTGGGGCTAAGTTTACAACCTTGATGAACCAAAGAGGACGATCGGACTCCGATGGAGCTATTATCATGTTCAGATAGGTGAGTCATCGCGTTACTTCTGATATCAGTATTTACTGGCCGGTTGAGTCTACTCAGAGTCTCTCATGCAAGCACGTTCAGGACAAGGAACCTCGTCCAAGTATGTTGTAACAATGTATGGAATGCTGCCCTGATCACATACACGGTATGCCGCTGTTCGTTGCGGAAATACTGGTTCACAATAGCTTCACTACGATGCACATCGCATTGCAGCAGGATGATTTGTCGATCCGACTCATCAACAAAGCCAAGACAGTGTATGATAGTAGCAAGTTGGAAAGCTGATCGGAATAAATTAAAGTTGTAAGTGCAGTTGATCCGTACTTGAAGCTTGGATTCCCGTGGAACACGGGACACTGCTAACTAGAACAAAGACCACGTACTCGTCCTTAAGCGATCCTTAAGCACAGGCCATCGATAATGCATATGATCCAACACGGATATGTTTCGGCGATCGCCAGCTTACGCAAGTTGACATGAATTACGGAATCACTTGGCTTTATCATATGACAGTCATATTCATTCTTCTACTTCGCAATTAAACAAGGCACGTAAACACTTTTTCTGATACCCGTGAATAGGCTGATGGCGTGTCTAAGTAACAACTAGGTTCTTCTTGTGTTCTGTGTGTTGTGGCACTGGCGGGGAGACGTACAGACATCGAGTCAACGTGGAGTATAACACACTCGATCGGCGATTCTGATATTATGCTTGCAGAGTGGCGTGCAATATCCTCGAAGATGAACAATGATGGATAACGTTAAACAGTCCGCACTCGTGGAGACGATAATGAATAAATAGTCTGCAAAGAACCCGCTCAAAGCACACAAACTTCATTCGAATCACACAACACTTCACTCGAAACACACCCAACACTTTCAAGATGTCCTTTAACTCAAACTTCAGCTGATTCGCCTCAGAGCAAGGCAGATCAGCAGCGCCTATACAGAGAGAAGGAGGGAGAGGGATTCGCGAATCTTCAGCAAGCAATTCGTGAAGTGACAGAGGGGAGGGTTGACCCAGGCGAAACGCCATGAAACACTGACGGCAGGCATGTCAATTCATTCTGTTAATATTCAATTACCTAACACACTCTCCAGCTGCACAGAAAATTAGAGAGCTCAGTCGTCAGAATGAAGAGTTACGCAGACAACTCAACGGAGTACCTCATTCGTCGTGGGGAGCGCAAGGTGCATTAACTGGCTATTGGACTCACTCAGATGCTAAACAGCACACAGGTGGTCAGACACACGGGGCATGGTCGGGGGGAACTACCGCTATCCCCTATGTTCCTGAGTCTAGTTTCGGTGCTCCGGGGAATAACTTCAGCTCCGCGCAGTATCCCGATCAATATTATCCCGGCAATGCTGCACTGCCGGATTCGAACTACTTGCGAGGGTACCCCGGACAAGGCAGGGGCATTTAAATGATATATATATCAATGTCACGTGGCAGGAGCAGGACAGGATAACATATGCCTCACTCTTTATTACTTACATATAGTCCCAGTAATTTTTCTTGTGCTTTTTGAACAATGATTGGATGACTTCTTTGTGAACTAACAAGAAAGTTATTAAGGATCCGTTTGGGTGATAGAACAGTTGATTCTACGCATTCCTGAGACGGCCCGCCTTTGGCTCCGTCTTTCAGGTGAATTGCCACTAATGTAGAGACCAAGCGTAACATTAAAATTCTACTGCTACCATATGAGTCCACAACGGTTGGCTTGGTAACCTGTCGATCAGTGTCATAGCAATGATACTACGGAGGCATTGAAATAAGGCTGTGGAGGTGGCACCAGGTTGGTGATATATATTTGGACGAAGATGAAAAAATAAATGTAGAAGCTGAACGTTCGAACTCCAATCGACGAAACGTGGGTTTTGGTCTCCCCGATGCAGTGTTCACTACCGAAAAATATCGAAGGAACAGCGAGGATGTATCAGTGGTATGTCTGTGTTCCAATCAGGACTTGACGTTGAAGTTCACACCGACAAACTCAGACAAGATGGCAGGAGACCAAGAGTCGACTAGTCATTCCCGACAACACCCGAAAACTGGAATCCAAGACAACATGGACTATTTAAGAGCAATCTTATGTATGATATATCCATAACTGTGACATCAGAGACAGACGGCAGAAATTAAAACGTATCTTATTGACAGTGCACCCGCTCCACTTGGACGTCGGATGTGTCGGACCGTTGAACAGATACCACTCACTGCTCTATTGTATCGCGGTAAGGTTGGTAAGGGCTACTAAATGAAAGGAGACTTGCCGCCAAGGACCAAGGTTCGGCTTTACTGGTCAAGTGCCTTAATAGACTCGGAGAATTTGCGGACAATATACATTATGCCGAGAAGAGTCACTGTGCGTATAGCCTCGACGCTGCCTCATACGTGCAGTAAGTCGCAAACCTCAAGGTACTGACGTGCAGCCCAGCCAATGAAATAAGGTTAGGTTGAGTTTGCATCCCTGAAGGCACTGACCAGCCCAGCCAATGAAATTATGTTCATGTTGTGTACCTGATTACCTTTCGGACCCGACATCTTCGGGTGAAGTTTGCTTCCATGAGGGCGTTACTTAGTTTGTTTCGCATGAGTGTCGAAGAGAAACTATATGATATGCACGTTAGAAGCATCGAGGCGAAGAGAAACGTTCGGATGTCAAACTGAGCAATAAGCCAACCGAGTGCACGCACCACCGTCGGCAGTACCCAACATACCACCCCTGCACGTCACCCCTGACTTGAACACGGTCCTGTGCGCTACGAGCGACCTTGAAAATTGACACGAGGATCGATTGGGAACAATGAAGACAAGGCAACCATGTGGCATTCAGGCCAAAACATGAGGTCGTCGAGCTTGGAGTCCGGCCGATGTCATCGTTGAGATTGCATAGCTACGAGTATTTACAGGATCTGGCGTCTTGGTTGTGACTGCTTGCAATACATCCGATGACGAGGTAAGAAAATCCTCAGTGCTGTGTTTGTCACCTTCATGAAGAAAGGTAGCAACGGCAATGTATTTAAGATGATTCGACTATGACTCACTATGATTCATTCCTCTGTCGAGCAAGCACACTGTATATCCTCGTTCACTCCAAATTCGGGGGCTTTCGACATGATGCACGACGATACCAAAGACCATGCATACAGGCAGAACAAGTCCACGCAGCAAAAGCAATACAGAGACAGGGAGACCGACGGCTTTGCAGAGCTTCGCGACGCCATTCGCGAATCTACAGATGATCAGGAAGCCCCAAAAACAAAATACGAGACGTTATCAAAAGGTGAGCATACCAGGTAAATTTTTGAGCCACAGAAGGATTCAATGCGTGGTTAGCCGCACAACATATCCGACAGCTTAACCTGATGAATCTGAAGCTGCAGCAGCAACTTTATATGCTAAAATCATCTCGGACAAACGACGAGGGCCATATGATGACACAAAGTAGGTGTCAGCTTCTGCAGGTCTGGCTGCAATTGTCTGATGAACAGACCCTACAGTGCGGGTACCTGACATGTCCTTGCACTGGAATGGTGATGTCAGGTCGGCTTGCACGCACCGGACGACACAAATCGTATCACAAAACACACTGCACGATTTTTACATCGGTATGAGCCCTGGGGTGTGCGATGCTGCCATGCTGGAGGGCGTGCGGGACCAGACGAGTACCGTCCCACGATACAGTAACAGCTTGAATCAGATCGACCAATATACGTCCTTTGGATACCCCTCGAACCAGCCTGCGTCTCACATCTCCTATGATAGAAAATTATAATAGAAACTGAAGTAAATGTAGAATACTAGAACTTGCCGAGCTTTCTATAGTGATGGCACGCTTATAATGGATGGCTGTAACTGGTTGGTGTGCTGTGTACTTCAATGGCGACATCTAGGCTCGTGACCAGCCATGAACAAAGTGGAGTGGCGTGGTCACGAGTCTATGGCGAAATCAATCATCAGAGAGGCGAAGCACGGAGTTTGAATTCAGATACCCGGTGGTCGTGCCGGCGGTAACCGGTAACCAATCGCTTATTGTGTCTACCGTGCACACTGTATGCTATGTCGATGTCAACTCCAACCATACGCAAGTTTTATCATTAATTTTGTCCCACCTTTGTCGTGTAGTTCTCTAGAAGCTATCGACAATATACCGGACTTTACGAGCACCCATTCGACGGAACAAAGTAAGCAAACTCTTGAAGCTTTTGCACAGCTCGCTTTTATATTGTAAGGAACACAGCATCCTAAATGATTTCAGCTCAAATACATGATATCCTTGCTGATAGAGTATAATGTGAGGTCCATGACCGTCATCCGAAGCCCACAAAGGATTTCCAGGATGGCCAGGATTTTTTTGTCTTGGTCAGGGCTAGCGAAGGATCGATAATTCAAATGAAGGGTTCAACAGATGCGGCATAATGTTTGAGAAACTCCGCGCTTTGGCCCCGAAATCTCTCCAAGATGATCCGACCAGTCTTACAGTTACTACGTCAAGCACTTTACTAAAAACTGGTTACGAGTCTAGGATACTAACCATATGATATGCACTTCGGCTCAGAAAGAGCAGCTATATCCGGTGTCACCTCGGCAGCACTTTGAAGATGCCACGGCGGTATGAGTGACCCTATTTTCATGTTGTGAATAAATGGTCTGTGAGACCACATGCCTGTGTCAGGATGTCTCCTTGGTGCACGGTTCATCTGAATCTCTCTCCAGAGGATCCTCTTACGGAAAGTGAGTTCATCCTCTCCTGATCCTCTCCATACCCCATGGCCGCATCATTATATCAGAAAAAGTTTTCGGCCTTACGATACCATGTAATACATTTTAAGGGCCAACTTAGTGCTTGGGGTTATAAATGGACGATAGTCTTTTAATAGGCCTTACATACGTTGAATGCAGCTCGCCGCGGAACTCAATTGGTAGTTTGTCGAATCTCGATGCCTTGTTATAAGGCACTTCGAAGTTTGACTAAACTTGTAATCCGGCGGCATTGTAATGTTGGGACTATGTCCGCGAGGGACAACATCTTCAGATCCTTCCGCACCTGATGTCCGCATCTTCATATGTTGGTGCGATGTCCCGATAGAATCAAGCAGAAGATTGCAGGACACGAAGATGTGGAGTAGAGGCAAATCAGGATTACTGGAAGAATTTACGATTAGCTCATGTAAATTCTGTGAATGATTCGGCTAAGTTAGAAAACCGGGCCTCGATGCAGGCCAAATGCAGGCAGGTTCGAGCATCTAGAAGTTGGAACCTATGTTTAAACTGTGGAAAGCCCCGAAAGACTCCGGCTCTGGATGCATACTTACTTCTCCATAAAAGGTCCTCGCTTGCGAGTAGTGTCGGTGTCATCGATCGACGGCTTACGATACGCAACTAGTACCCGGAATCAAATGCCAGATTTTGAGAATCTACATCTGATTCACGCCATAAATCGACCCCCAACAGACAAAAATCTAGCTATCGCGGGTAGTGAGAAGTTGATGTACACTAGGCAATTCTATCGTCCCATACGTATATTTGTTCACCATGGTTGTAATATTGGCGATCCGGACTCCAATGAGGATTCACCTGGCTGATGATCTGATTATATGCCAGGGTGGTGTTCGTGTTCTCCAATGGCACGTCATCGCACAGCTCATAGCCTGTGTTGGTGACATATGGATGCGATTCGGTCGGCGATATGCTTGCGAGCTGGCAGACGCTATTTGGCTGCTCGATGAAATGATCGTAAAGCACAGGGGAATATGGGCCTCGCGTACAAGGATCTGCTGAGTGTCAATGAGGTGCGGATTGCCTGTGGTCAGAATATACTTACTACTGATGGTTGTTGGGAACCCTCCTACACAACTTGGTGGCGTTTCGGAACCGGTGTGACGGGACTTTATATAAATTTGTTGTTGCAACTTTGCGTTCAACACAGAAAGCTCCCTAATCAGCCGTGCAGCTGGAGAAAACACTCAGCTAATTTTATGTTTTCATTCAATATATACACACACCTTTTCGTAGAACATCTTGTCTTGTCTTGGGGTCTGACTCTCCTCTACTAGCATGATAAATCTCCGCCCGTACCAGGGAAAACCCATCGAGCTCCTTGCTCCTGTACTGTCTTTGCAAGACCGACTTGTTTTGCTTTGGCATTGCTTCCACGAGGTGTTCAAGTTGCGATGGAGTTGGAGCAGCTGATGCGAAACAGGACAGTACGGTAGGACCTCTAGGCTTGCCTCCTTATATGCCGATCACAATTGTGCCATCTGATAGGCACTAGCGGCGGCCAACTCGAATAGAGTTACTACTTACGTCCAGCTCCTGGTTTAGCGGGTAAGTTGAACCCTAAAAATTCATTGATGTGCAGGGGTGAAATGATTTAACGCTCGCCCGCATGACGTTCGGGTTTGGTGGCAAGCCTTTTTCGTTATTCGGAAGCCCTTATATTTGACGTCGAATCAGTGCGTGCGGATAAATGCACGTGATTACCTTCTGCCTGACGTCATGCGCGCTTCGGATACAAAAAAATCTCAAACCTGTGCACGACGCACCGCCCAAAAGCGCTCTAGTTCAAGTTGTGCGCTTTGCACCTCATGATGAGGTACAGGCGCCGAATTGATAGCGTACTTTTTCCTTCTGGACTGCGTTATACTTGGAATGACGCTGATAAGCCGCTGATCTTTGTGCAGAATAATAGGAAACCATGGCATCGCAATCTCCGTACATCCCGCGCTCTATCATGCCAAGGTCTGGGAGTATTTCTACAGCAATAACTTGAATGACAGAACTCACATGGGCAGCGCTACTAGTACGCGTCTATTGAACTTGGAGACATGTGCATCTGGGATTGTGCATCTGGGATTGCCCGCAGCCCAGCGAATATCATAGCAAAGCCCGGGAATGCTTCTAGCTAGTCGAGTTCTTGATTGGACACTAGAATCAAGCCACTTTGGTACACGCTCCTAAGACGTGCACTGATCTGGGATCGTCACCGTATCATTGCAAAGCCCGGAGATACTTCTAGCCAGTCGAGCTCTTGATTAGACTCCTATTGAACCAAGCGACTTTGCTCCTTTACGATATACACCATACACGATCCTCGGAGCAGCACTTGACCTACAGTGCCCTAGTAGTACCCACGATGTTTACGGCCGTTGGGCAGCCGAAATTGATCTGTCGTCCTAATTGGAAGCAGGCATTGTAACTTTGCGGCAGGCCAAACTCGGACCATATATCGTCACTAGTCGGAATGGAAGTTTGCGCAGGTGAGAGGTCTGCCAATCAATGTTTCGGTTCAAGCCACTAGTGTTTTTTGTCTAGCTCGCTGTAAAGTTATTTGCCCTTTCTTAGATACAGGAAGCCGAACTTCCAGTGAAACTTTTTCTCAAAATAGGAATTGGCACACGACGATTATTTTCCTAGTCTGATGGTCGAAAGTCAATTGATTTCTTCCGAGTCGAGTGCCTCCTATATTGAATCATCGATTAAACGCTTATACGGATTCATCGGATCACTGCAGGATGAGAAGGCCGTTACTGTCGGCAAAGGCCGATTATCATTATCTGACGCTTGTGATAAGGTAGGTCTTAAGTCAAGTCCAAGCTTCAAGCTCAAACTTCAAGCTCCAAGTCTAGCATCGTTCTAGCACGAATATTTTCCTTATGTTGCATACTAGTACACAGCACTAAGTACTATAAACAACCAAAGTGATTTTTTGCAGGGTTCATCAGGAAAAAACAAGGTGACTATATAGTACTATATAGCCAGGGTAGACTGTATAGCCAAATAGCTATCCCCCCTCTATATAGCATGTGAGGCAACTATGTAGTACTACGTAGTACTATATAGTGCTATGTAGAACCAGGTAGCGCTACTATGTACTACCATAGTTCCCTTAAGTTCCCTACAGG